GAGCACATGTAGCTGTGTGTCTCTCTTTTAGTACAGGTTCGACTATCGTGATTCTTCCACATTAGACACAGCTAACGGAAGCGTACAATAACGAAAAGTGTGCTCGTAGGACTGACATCGCTTGCATTGTACTATTCTCGTTTTTTACGCGGTGGTTCAGAACGTATTTTTGCATGTAGTAACGTATTCGACGTCATATATTTTTTTGTTGATACTTTGAGATTCTAAGTCCACAAAAAACAATTATAGAGGCTTTGTTAACCGATGCTTGATATTATGATTTGTCTTACTTTGTGGCCTTGTGCTTCTATAGCTTCTTTAAGTTCTATTTCGTCTGCTGTTGGGTGCATATTTTTTAACACAACCCGAAACGGCTCTTTCTTGTTTTAACTGAAATGTATAATGAGCATATTTTTTCAGATTTAATGTTTAACAAGCTTTAATAAACATCCGGTGTCTGAGTACGATTTTGACATTGTTAATTGTCATTTTGCTTCTATCTTGATAGTTTTTATAGTTTATATGAGAAGTCTTAACTTTAATGACTTCTTTAATCGATCTGATCAATCAATATAGCTCTAAACGCTGGTATGAAAATACGGGCGTTCGATATTTGTCTTGTTCTTGTCATACTGCCCTTGGTTGTCGTATTATTGATATTATCAGATTTCGAGGTTGCTTCTAAATTTTCAATCACAAGAGAGATGTTCATACCTGTTTTTTGATTTATGACATATCCATCTCTACTTACAATTGTATTTGCCGAATGTTCGAGTAGAACAAATTGCAAATAAAGCAGATGTTAGAAAAAAATCTTATAACTAATGAAGGAACAAACGTTTCCTTCCATTTGTTTTCAGTATTTAGCATGTGTACAGGTTAGGGTAGAGAATTTTAGAAAACGTTCAAAAATACATTTCTCTCTATAGTGCGTGTTTTGGTTTTGTTTTGGACGTTAAATTAAAAATATAAACAAACATAAATAAGAAAAAAGCCTCGTAGTTGTTCCATGTCGATGTTTAACAACGAGAATCCGAAAGTTTGTTTTTTAAATTTTAAGTAGACATTTCATTTCTTATCTTGTCACCGTTCAACAATGAACTTCTCAAATATACATCGCTGTATTGTTTCCCTAGATATCGCAGATATTAATATAAAATGAAAGTTAAAAAGATCGTACAATTTTATGGTACTCAATTGTTTCATTTTTTATGTAAAGTATTAGAAATAAAGCTAATATAACCAAAACGCAACCAATTCAAATGAAGCTTGTGGTGCATACCTGCGTGATTTCGATAGCCAGGAAACATTCATACACTTTTACAAATAAAACACAATAATCTGCGATCAAAATTTCTTGATGTACAGAAGTGTATTTGTTAGTTCTAAGTTAAATTTTTTACCTTGCTTCAATCTACTTTCTATCTAAATAATAGCAAACGCATCCAAACTTCTCAAATTATGTTTCATGAAGCACAGCAAATTCGAATCGAAAGACTGTTTGGCGCCAAATGACACAAGAAATACTCATAATTTTGAAACATTCAACCTGACTTTATTTGAAGATCTGTTTTTGGTAAACACACTTCTTTACAAAAAATATTATCTTCACAATTGTAGATGTATGAAGAAGCCGAAAAGTTTTAATTTTTTTTCAAAAATCAGGCATTTTATTTAACGTGAGACCTCCACCATTAACTTGAGCGTTATGTACGCTATCCAAGGTCAACACTTATTCAAAATTGTTGGTGCCGTATTAGGGAGAAAAACGTTTGAACAAAATTGAAACTTGCGTCATTTTCATGCAAAATTACGCAAAAATTACTCCAATTTTCGTGAAATTATACACAACCTTATTTCAAAATATACACTTTGAGGAACAGAATACATTAGAGGAAAATACCTTTTCTTATAATTGTAAAAGTAGGAAGATTCTGAAAAAATGTTGAACTTTTGCAATTTTCGAACAATTATTTCAACGAACATGAGACCCGCACTATTCTCTTCAATGTACTCCACACTATCTAGTAACAACGTTAAAATCAAAATCGTTGGAGCATTTTTTTAAACTTTTGCAAATGTCCCAGGATCTTCATTCCAAAATTAACAATTCGGTTTCAAATTCAGACAGGCAAACGTTTTGCCGTCAATCAATTTTGAGGTATCAGTGACCTACAAAATTAAATTCTGGCAATATCACGTGTTAAAGTTTTTTTCAAAATTTAGCAACTGGATTTATTCACTTTTTTGTTATCAAGGCCCGGCAATAAGAAGCCGCAAATTTGCCATTTTTTTCCGCAGCTTTACATAACTTTCTCTCTACTGCATAAGCGAAAGTAAAAATTTGGAACTATTTTTGGGAAAGTTTTAAAAACGTCCCGTGGTTTGGTGTAATTGACCTACGAAATTTATAGATTTTTTTTTCAAAATCGCAAGAGTTTGAATCGGACGACATCGGTTAGGGATTTTCATTTTGGTAAAAATTCTTAAATAAGTTAGGGCCTAGTGTTCTTCACAGACGGTCGTTTTGAAAATAATTTTTTTCGATATCAGGTGACTCGAAATCATGAATTTGGATGAAATTGTTCAAATCGATTTTCCGAATCCTTACATAACTTTCTCTATTATGCGTATACTTTCCCGTTTCACGAACGTGTATGAAATTGTAAAAATACGTAGACCACTACTTGTAAAATTGTTACTTTTAGGAATTGCGTGGCGAGCTAAAAGCACGTTTTAGCACTTGTGCCAAAAGGATGCTTTTGCGTTTACCCAACGCAGGTAGGCTGCAAAATAATTTCGCCTCATCACAGTGGCTGCTTAAATAATTTTTAGCCTTGACTTACGGGTTTTGTGTACCTGAGTTAACATAAAATAAAAATCAATACAGCTGTCAAATATGTATGACACGTTTAGAAAAAGTGATTTTATTTTGCTTGGGCCACACGTCTGTACTTTGTTCCATCTCGCAAAATAAAATGCCACATTTTCTATTCGTATCTTCAAAAACTATTATCAGACATTAGTGTCATTATTAATCTTATCTAATCGTCTCGCGGCAGATTCATCATTTTATACTTGTTTGTTTTTCTCTCACAGATGAATTATCGTCCCTTGTTGTGTGCCGCTGCTTTCATTGAATAGGCGAATTAATTGGGAAGAAACAGAAGATATGAATGATGTGAAAAATGTAGTGAAATTTGAACATCCAAATATTATGAAAATAAAAACAACATAATTTGTACACGGATTTTTGCACATGACTCCCCTCATTAAAATTAAATTGTTCAAACAACTAAATATTTTCCCTGAAAGTAACGCCATGAAGTATACTTTTTTATAATATAATTACAGTGCACAAAATAATTATTGAAGTGATTCGCACTATTCACCGTTGTAATGACGATGTTTGAGAATATGAAGAAAAGTAAAAAACGAACATATTGATAGTCCAAAACGTTAAGTGAGATATATGGGCTTACTTGGTGTCACACAGTTCATCGAGTATCGTCACTAATTTAGAAATGACAATACACATCTCATTCTAGATATTTATATTATATTTTGTCTTCATGGCCGCCATGGCTGAAATTCCTGTTTCACATAAGAAAGTGGCAAAATGAAGCAGAACATGCAAGGGCTCGTTACTTTATTCTGGATACTCATTCTTGGCGGAGCGCCAAAATTCGGTCAATATTGCAGGAATGTATCATGCCACAACAAAGCGAACCGCATTCTATTACGCCAAATGCCAGAGCTCTTTTAAAAATAACTGATTGTTGACAATGTTGATTTCATTGACGCAATACGATCACCTATCAAGGAATCATTTGAATAGATAGTGTAAACTGAGATAATACTGTCTACTATATTTGTAAAGAATTAACACTTCTTCACATAAAATATTTCACAAATATACATTTATTTTCATCAAACGTAGGAACACATCGTTGTAAAACATTTCCAGGTCACAATGTTTTCACACTACTGAAAACCCAAAAAAATCGAGCTAACACCTTCTTGCACTAAGCTCTTCACTTCTTCTATATTAAATTACTTATTTAATAGAATATAATAAGCTGTATTTTCCTATATATTTAAGCACACGATCTTAACCAATAAGACTCAAGTTTTCTTTGAAACACTACTTTTTAAGAATTTGTTTGTAATGCGTACTTTCATTTTATCGGTCCGTTGAAAAAAAAAACATTAACAATGTTTGAACGTAGAGCAGATCGGGCGCTTCTCCATCCCTCCCGCACTCTCAGACACTCCAATTTAAAAAATTGCCAAAAACAGTTAAAACCTGTGTGACGTGCTACAAAGAGAAGTGCATATGTTTTCTTTGTTGAGTGATATCGACCCTAAGTCATAAACAAGTAGTATTTCTGCATACAGAAAGAAATGGGCGTTTTTATCGAGAATTAATAAGAAAATGCTCGTTATATGCTCGAATATATAGAAACAGTTATTTAGCAGAGCTATGGGGCTAATTAGTGAACGGTTAATTTTATAGCGCTAATTATTGAACGGAGCGGACACATGCGGATTGACAGCGTATTCTCTTAGCGCTTTACGTTTAGTTCATTCAGCACTCCTCTGGTGTCCATCTCTTTTCCTTCGTTTGAGGTGCCACTACGGGCCTATCGTCTTTCCTTGTCTTGAACTGAGCTTCTCAAGAGTGTATAAGTGGATTGCGAATAGTCGGAGAAGCAGAACTGGGCGATGTGATTAACTCATTGAACGAGTGTTGCGATAATTCCATTTCCCCCTCTGCGGTATCGTGTGATTCCACTTCCTCCACTGCTGCCAACGCGGACAATGCCAGCGCGCCGCCGTGCCTAGAGCGCCGTTCGATGCGCCGGGTGAAGGTTGCTCGCGTAATACGACTGTTTGTTTGTGAAATTAAGTGCCTTATTCGTGTGAACAGGTCGTGACGAAAACAAAATTCCTTTACATTTCATAAAGTATATCCATCACGATCATTTACTGTTTTGAAGATGGCTGAAGAAGGATCATCCGTGAAACTAATTGAAGACTTCATTTTGCCAAAAATCTTACAAGAACTGCAAGGGGCTACAATACTGCAACATGAATTGCGGGCTATGGACGGAATGAAAGACAACTGGGCTTCTACAATGTTCGAGATTAAATTGGATGTGCAGCGTAAGGTGAAGGAACCTCTGCATACTATATTGAAAGTAATGAATGAAGATAAAAATGTGCGAGAAAAAATGAAATCTCATAAACAGTTTTTCAATGAGATTCATTTTTATTCCACTGCAATGTCTCTGTTTACATCAGTAGTAGCGGCGGAAGAACAGAAATTCACTTTTGATCGACTGTTTCCGAAGTGTTTCTGCAGCTATTATAATGTAAATAAGAAACCCGAGAATTATGAAGACGCCTACATTGTTATGGAGAACTTAAAAGTTCGAGGTTTTAAACTTGGAAATCGTACTTCATTGGATTTTAAACACTGCAGTCTTGCTTTGCAATGTTTAGGAGAATTTCATGCGCTTTCATATTTTATAAAAGAGCGAGTTCCTGATAGATTTGTAAATGAAGTGGTGAAACCCATTCATGAGACTAACTATGATCCAAGTGATAAGAAAACGTGGAACGATACGTTTGGTGCATGTGAGCAAAGAATAATCGATGCTTGTGATTCTGAGAGTGTGCGAAACCGACTCCGTGAGCTGGCGGCGCGAGAACCGTTCGACGTCTTCACTGAGCTCGTGCAGCCGCAAGAACCTCTGGCGGTGTTGTGCCACGGAGATTTCCTGAGGAACAACGTGCTCTTCCGATACGAGAACGGAGAACCAGTGGAAATGAAGTTCATCGATTTCCAAACCATTCGTTATGCCTCTCCAACCATCGACATATCCTTGCTCCTATGCATGAATACCACTCACGAACTGCGAGTGGGCCATTGGGACGAGTTGTTGCAGGTTTACCACAATTCCCTCACCAACACGTTGTCTAGTCTGCTCCGAAAGCCTAAAGATCATCTCGATTCACGTTATAGTTTCGACTCCTTTATGGCTGACTTTCGACGACACGCAGTGTATGGCTACTTGATAGCCATAGAGTTCCAACTGTGGATGTTTGCTGAGGAGAGCGAACTTGAAGCTTTCGTCAAAATGTACTGGGAGGAAAGAGGTTCTCCCAGACACCTGGAAGCTTTACGTCACTTGGGCGGCGTCCAAGCAACACGTGAACTAGTAATGTTGGCTAAAGATCTGGTCGAGAAAAAGTGCATCTGATTGCAGTAATTGGGTGAAATTCTACCGGTAGGTATTTAAAAGTACTTTTCTTTATTTGTATCTCTTCTATATGCATTAATTTTCCTACGTTATTTCTTTAAACAGTATAATAAATGAGTTATTCTTTTTTTCAGATACACGCCTAATGAATCAAGAGTAAATATTAGATATTTCAATACTTATTCTGAAGCTGAACATAGACGTTTTATGAATGAACACATGGTGGTTTAACTGAAAAATAGACATGAGAAAATATTTCTTATACTGTGAAATATCTTATTTCCGTTTAGAACTGTGAATAGTATTTTTCATTTGTTTTTTTTTTATTTCTCGTGTTTTCAGTCATTAATTTGCCCTTAGAGCGGGAATTTAAATCCAGTAGTCAAGAATGTTTGCACTTTACATTCAAATATGTACTTCATTTTTAAATGTTTTCAAATTAAATCCAGAAAAGAAGTTTTACGTATCCTTGAGACAAAGCAATAGACTACGAAAGAAGGTGAGTTCCGTAAGAAAACACGCAATGATATAAAAATCTAGCATTTAAAATTAATGTATAAATATTTTGCGACGACATTAGAGAGACATGTGGTATGTACGAAATGATCTTATCGATTCATATTAGTTAAATTATGTAGTAAATTTCTACTTGAGAGTTAAAACCCAATTTGTGTAAATATATTGATTCACATTTTGTGAAACTGAATTTTTAGTTTCAAATTATTACAGTGATAAAAATAAATTACGCAAATATTAAATTTGATGCTACATGATTAGTTTCAAATACATGTGTCCTTTAAAGGGTAATTTTAATGACCTTGTTCTAATGATATTGACCCAAAACATATTGTACGTTAATCCGAGGCTTGCATGTTTATTAAAACAAATTTTACTTTTCAGTTTATACAGAGTACGCAAATTTTAACCGTTAAGAAAGGGCGTTGTTTTATCTGCGCATGTACGTTCGTTTGTCGGCCTAGAGACAAATATAACTATTAAGTATAACCTTTTTTATTTCTTTATTCTTAATTTTTGATTCATTTCTGATAACAAACACTCGTAATTAAAATACGTATTGAATGATTGCATTTTGCCATAAACTGCATTTACAATATTTTTTTGTTTTAAATTATTTCTAGGTTTTGAATATCTCTTACTACAAACAAAGGCTTATCGAAACCTAATGTTTGACTCGTAAATTCCATCCTCTTATGAACATCTTGTATTTTCATAAAATACAATTTAGATATCTACATACAAACATATAATACAAATTATAAATGTGTTGTATTTATTTAGTTATTTGATAGGAAAAACTGAAGGCTTGTTTTAGAATTTAAAAAAATTCCTTTCGTGTACAAATTTCGCAAAAGCCACTATTTTCAAAAAAAAATTGTACATGGCTCTTTTTTAAGATCTAACATTTTATAAAAGACATACGCGTACTTAGTTGTAATGAAGAAAAAAATTGGAGAGTATTTTGTGGCATTCTTTTTTGCATATAAATATTTACAGTCGCGTCAAAAACATGGTTATTATTGTACGCGCACGTTTTCTTGAGCCCCGGAGCACCTACCGCCACTCCTTCACTAATATTAATTTATTTCAGACAAAATAAAAGTAACGAGCATTGTTGGCACAATCTGATAACAAGAAATGTTTGCTATCGTGCAATATAAATTATTTTGCATTGTAAAACGAGCCACAGATTTGGTATAATAGTTCTGTTGAAATAACCAACCTCCCCACTGCACTTGCATTTAGCTACATGAGGGCTCAAGAAAACGTGCGAGGATAATAGCTAGTATTACAGGTATTGTTCAATTACATATGTAGGTGTTTTACAAATCAACGTTACAATTAATTTATTAACATATTTTATCCAAAGTTAAATCAATATTTTTAAAAGGTTCAATTTACAGTAGGCTTAATTGCCAGGAAGTAATAAACTAAACACTTTAGAAAAGTTGACTCTATTAACTTGATCTTTTGCTAAATGTTATCTTTGAATCCAAATAAACTCTTTGACGGTTGAATCCGGGTCACAGTCTAAAGATGTTTGGTGAACAATTTAAAATTAAATATCGAGTTTACTGATATCGTTAATTTGAAAAGGGATTTGCTGTAGCAAAATGTATCCCTAATGTATAAAGCTGAAAATATTCCTCCATACCACTATTTTTATTTCGGTTTTAGCTCTTCTTTTGCACCAGATCATTCATGATGGAAAAGTTGAAAACAGAATAAAGTCAGGACAGTGTGAGGTCGGGGTATGAATTTTAAGTAATGGCGTAAATTCGGGTCCGCAATGCAGGCGGGGATGGTAAGAAATAATAATTACGTGATGCTTTTTCTGTTACTTTGCGATAGTTGATGTAATGAAATATTAAAAACAGCATCGTCAGATCTTTTTTCCGCTTCGGTGGCTTATGTAACCTTGCTTCGAAATCAATATAGGTAAGCAATTCATTTAGGTTTTATAACGGTCCTAATTTCGTAAAATTAAAAAATAAAGGCATATGTTTCCACTATTAGTTTCAAGTACTTCGCTATTATTCACAAAAAACACACATAAACTGTCTTTTTATTGTTTATATTTTTTAAATAATTTTTGCTTCACAATTTGTTCTCTACGGAGAAACTTTTAACATGCCATGTGGGAAGATGCACCCTTTGGTGCATGTTCTGAATTAAAACATTAATTTCACAGTTACATTAAAATAGATTCATGTAACTAATCTATAGGTTAATTCTAATGTTTTGTATCTTTTAAGTCTGAATATTACTTTGCTGTTGTCCAGGATGTTGACGGCCAAGTGATCAGGGTGATCTTGGAGTCTATCTTGATATTTTCTGCTATTGTTGATGACATTTTTGTGCACCGTTGGAAATTATGTAGGGTTATATTTGAATCTTGACATCTTATATGATAACGCGTAGACTAGGGCGTTGCCAAAGACGCTTTTCAATCAACAGCAGTTAAAATTGGAAGGGGGGGTTGATAGCATCTTCATGACTTGTACAGCCTTGTATAATGCTTCAGTTAATGGCCTTGAATAAGATTTTTAGTTATTTATTGACGTCAAAAACAGTTAAAAACTGTGCGTGACGCGCTATGGGGAGAAGTTAATTAGAAGTTACAATTATGTCCAGAAGCAAAACAAGATTATGCGTCACTGAAGTATTGTGTGTGTGTGTTTAAAGAAAATTATATTCTGGATATTTTTTATGGAAGTTATTTTTTAAATATCCACAATATTAATTTTGATAAAGGAGGTCCGGATGAAAGTTTTGTGAGCTGGTCCGCACTTAATTCGTTAAGCTACTGAATTAGAGAGCTGACGTACATCTTTGTATTGCTATACTGCCATATTCTTTAAGGTGGTATTTATATGTTTCTCAGGTATGCACACTATAGATTATAATCAGTTATCTTTGGTTCTGGTAATGTATAATAATGTAACACTTAGTCCATATCACTGAAAAACGTGGATTGTTCCTGACCATTTCTTATCCCTGATGAGAACGCTATAGTTCTCACTTTAATTCTGTGATGAAGATGCATTATTATACATGAAACTTATTTCCTGTAATTCCTTCTGAATGGATTTTGTCAGGATGATGAGTTCACACCACATAAGCTTTTACAAAAACAAGATTAACCGCAATCACGTGTTCATCAATGACTGCCTCTTCATTGATAGGCAAAATTTTGGAGTGATCAGAACGAAATCAATATTATTTTAATAACTTTATGATAATACAGAAATCCTTTTCTCTTTTTTCTTCTTTTGATTTTACACATGTATAATAAAATTATAATAAAATTGGTCGGTAATTATCAGTTTTTGATTGATCATTGTCAGGTCAGGATAAACAACTGCCGTTTTCTAAGTACCTGATAAGCTATTATTTTCCAATATTCGATTATATATTTTAAGTTCGGTGTCTTTATCCCTAGTGTTTAGACGTTCAATGAGCAGTTGGAATATTATAAGCATGAGGTGAAATTGTTGTGGAGGCAAAGTGAGTTCAGACATTGAAATAGGTTTATGGAGTTTGTAATGTATCCAATTATCTTCGTTTGTAGTGCATTGGATGATTCCACTGATCTGTTTGGATGGGAAAATTTTCTGTACTTCATTTGTTTGCAAATGTGTGTACACGTTTATTATCAATTATAGTAGGAACAGTGATAATTTCATCTGCAGTTTTATTAAGGTTACTTTTATTACGTTGTATACTCCACCATTCTTTTCAGCATTGAGTTATATTATTTTGACTGAATATTAGTAATACATACTTTGCCCAGGAAGTGGCTTTGCTACCCTTTGTGGTTGTTCTGGCTGCAGTTCTCGTTTTCTTGTATTCAATTTTGTTTTCAAGGGTGCTTTGTTTCTTAAATCTCATAAAAGCGTGTTTTGATTTTCTGATAGTTTTCATTATACATTCCTTTCATACATTTCTTCACCGACCATGACACATGTTTATTTTTGTAAGATATAATGGCAATTGATTCAGTTACTGACTAGCTAATAACTTTCTATTGTGGGAATGATGTGTGATATGATTATTTCATCAAGTAACTTTCGTGAAGGATTGAAAAATTAAGTAAAGGAGCCATAATTATTTTCCAGGAAATAATGATCTGTCTAAGAAAGTATTAACTGACAAATTAAGTTGCTGGCAACGTGTATTTGTATTAATATTATTTTTCGTCATTTTAATACAGGTATTCAAATTGAAAATTGCAATTCCCTGAAGATTTTATCCTTCATTGTAGGTAAGTTACGGTGACTAATTCTATAGCTCACATCTGAACATTTTGAAAATGAACTACCGAGAGTAAAATAGGTCAGAAGATAATGGCGCACCATGTGTCACTTGCTGCAGTGCTTGTTCACATGTTTACCAGATACGCTTTGAAGATACAAGAGAAAAATTACCAAATGTATACACGAATAAACACATATGAAGAGAGCAGATAATATGGTTGCAAAAGGTAGAAGCATAAAAACAGCTGATGAATGTGGTCTCAAGAATGAAACATTAAAATGCAAGGAATGCTGGCTTCTAAATGTTTTACGGTTTCTCGTCAAAAAATGCCGCAAACTTGCCTATCAATTATTCACCCCAATCTTAATTTTTATTCGAGTGCATTTCCGTGAACACATGCGGTTTGTACTCGTCAAATTCCTTATTTTTCAAAATTATAGTGGCTTCTCAATGATGAAAAAAGGAAATTATTTTGAAACACCTGGCCTGTGATGCTCCAGACACCTTATGGCCTATAGTACTCCAGACAATGACTCACGGTACTCCATGCATTGAGCATAATGGGTTATTCATTGTAATTTTTTTTTTGGCATTTTTTCTCCATTAGTTATTTTATGACTATCCACACAATTTTAAAATATACATATCTTTAGTTGTACAAATAAAATGAAATAAATCATCTTTAATGTAAGGAATTTCTGACTGTTCCAATTTTTGTGGCTCGTGATGTCTCGTTTCTCCCACATCTATGAAAAGAAGTCTGAGTAACATGTGCACATATCATATTTTGATATTTAACCCAGTTAGCGCTATTGAAGAGGAACCAGACGCAGTATGTTTATCATTGCTATTGAACCAAGAATGTTTATAAGAACAAGAAAATTATCACAAAATAATGTTTTCCACAATCTTAGTATACGAAAAAGTAAGCGAATGCCAATGAATTCGGCACTGCCACTTCAAAATTCGAAATTTAGTCATTATTACCCTCTTCTTCAGTGGATTCAGCCTTCTTGAGTAAGTTCTAGATTATCCTCATATTGAATAATGAATTTTAAAATATCTCACAAAATTGAAGTGTTTTAAAAGACAATAATGTAATTTCTTGTAAAGATTGAAAAGTGACGTTTGTATAAAATATCTATTCGAAAATCAAAATTTATTCACTTACACAAGCGTAAATAATAGAGCCCCAATGTTTAGGACATAGAAATGTTACAAATATGCAAGCATTTCTAACAACAAAATATTAAAATACGAACATAATTAAGACTTCAAAAATGTTTCGTTGCATTTACGATACCATAAAAAAAACTCCACTAAACACTGTTTAAATTTCAGAAATACGCGTTAAAAAAATATAAGAAAAATTTACAGAATTTGGTGAAAAATTCGAAAAAACTAATTTCGTCGAATTCTTCTGAAATTACGTATGTAAGTACAACTCTCAACGAGAAGTTCAATCGTACAAACTAGAACTCAATCCGAACATTAGTTTAGGAAACACGCGTGAAAGAAAGTTAAGAAAAAATTACAGAAATTTGGTAAAAAATTCGAAAAAAACTAATTTCGTCGCTTTTATCTGAACATTGGTATGTGAGAACAACTCTTCGCGAGAAGTTCCATGGTGCAATTTAGAACTCAATCAAACTATTAGTTTAGAAAATACGCGTGAAAAAAAGTTAAGAAAAAATTACAGATATTTGGTAAAAAATTCGAAAAAAACTAATTTCGTCGCTTCCATTTGAGTATTGGTATGTGAGAACAACTCTTCGCAAGAAGTTCAATGGTGCAAACTAGAACTCAATTCGACAATTTGCTTAGGAAATACGCGTGAAAGAAAGTTACGAAAAAATTACAGAAATTTGGTGCAAAATTCAAAAAAAACTAATTTCGTAGAATTCTCCTGAAATTACGTATGTGAGTACAACTCTTCACGAGAAGTTGAATGGTGCAAACAAGAACTCAATCCGACCATTAGTTTAGGCAATACGCGTGAAAGAAAGTTACGAAAAAACTACAGAAATTTGGTGAAAAATTAAAAAAAAACTAATTTCGTAGAATTCTTCTGAAATTACGTATGTGAGTACAACTCTTCACGAGAAGTTTAATGGTGCACACAAGAACTCACTCCGACCATTAGTTCAGGAAATACGCGTGAAAGAAAGTTAAGAAAAAATTACAGAAATTTGGTGAAAAATTCAAAAAAAAATAATTTCGTCGCTTTCATCTGAAAATACGTATGTTAGTACAACTCTTCACGAGAAGTTGAATGTGCAAACTAGAACTCAATCCGACCATTAGTTAAGGAAATACGCGTGAAAGAAGGTTAAAAAAAAATTAAAAAATTTGGTGAAAAATTCGAAAAAACTTATTTCGTCAATATCTTTTGAAATTACGTATGTCAGTACAACTCTTCACGAGAAGTTCAATGCTGAAAATTAGAACTCAATCCGACAATTAGTTTAGGAAAAACGCGTGAAAGAAAGTTAAGAAAAAATTACAGATATTTGGTGAAAAATTCGAAAAAAACTAATTTCGTCGCTTCCATTTGAATATTGGCATGTGAGAACAACTCTTCGCAAGAACTACAATGGTGCACACTAGAACTCAATCCGACCATTTGCTTAGGAAATACGCGTGAAAGAAAGTTAAGAAAAAAAACAGAAAGTTGGTGAAAAATTCGAGAAAAAACAAATTTTTTCAAATATTTCTGAAATTACGTATGTGAGTAAAACTCTTCACGGGAAGTTCAATGGTGCAAACTATAATTCAATCCGACCATTAGTTTAGGAAATACGCGTAAAAAAAGTTAAGAAAAAAATACAGAAATTTGGTGAAAAATTCGAAAAAACTAATTTTGTCGAATATTTCTGAAATTACCTATGTGAGTAAAAATCTTCACGAGAAGTTCAATGGTGCAAACTAGAACTCAATCCGACCATTAGTTTAGGAAATACGCGCGAAAAATAGTTAAGAAAAAATTACAGAAATTTGGTGAAAAATTCGAAAAAAACTAATTTCGTCGAATCCCAATGAAATTACGTATGTGAGTGCAACTCTTCACGAGATGTTCAATGGTGCAAACTAGAACTCAATCCGACCATTAGTTAAGGAAATACGCGTGAAATAAAGTTAAGAAAAAATTACAGAAATTTGGTGAAAAATTCGAAAAAAACTAATTTTGTCGAATATTCCTGAAATTACGTATGTGAGTACAACACTTCACGGGAAGTTCAATGGTGCAAACTATAACTCAGTCCGAGCATTAGTTTAGGAAATACGCGTGAAAGAAGTTAAAAAAAATTACAGAAATTTGGTGAAAAATTCGAAAAAAACAAATTTTTTCGAATATTTCTGAAATTACGTATGTGAGTGCAACTCTTCACAAAAAGTTCAATGGTGCAAACTAGAACTCAATCCGACCATTAGTTAAGGAAATACGCGTGAAAAAAAGTTAAGAAAAAATTACAGAAATTTGGTGAAAAATTCGAAAAAAACCAATTTTGTCGAATATTTCTGAAATTACGTATGTGAGTAACACTTCACGGGAAGTTCAATGGTGCAAACTATAACTCAGTCCGACCATTAGTTAAGGAAATACGCGTGAAAGAAAGTTAAGAAAAAATTACAGAAATTTGGTGAAAAATTCGAAAAAAACTAATTTTGTCGAATATTTCTGAAATTACGTATGTGAGTACAAAACTTCACGGGAAGTTCAATGGTGCAAACTATAATTCAATCCGACCATTAGTTTAGGAAATTCGCGTGAAAAAAAGTTAAGAAAAAAATACAGAAATTTGGTGAAAAATTCGAAAAAAACTAATTTTGTCGAATCCTTCTGAATTTACGTATGTGAGTACAACTCTTCACGAGAAGTTCAATGGTGCAAACTATAACTCAATCCGACCATTAGTTTAGGAAATACGCGTGAAAGAAAGATAAGGAAAAAAAGAGAAATTTGGTGAAAAACTCGAAAAAAACTAATTTTGTCGAATATTTCTGAAATTACGTATGTAAGTACAAAACTTCACGGGAAGTTCAATGGTGCAAACTGTAACTCAGTACTACCATTAGTTTAGGAAATACGCGTGGAAGTAGTTAAAAAAATTACAGAAATTTGGTGAAAAATTCGAAAAAAACCTAATTTTGTCGAATATTTCTGAAATTACACATGTGAGTACAACACTTCACGGAAAGTTCAATGGTGCAAACTATAATTCAATCCGACGATTAGTTTAGGAAATTCGCGTGAAAAAAAGTTAAGAAAAAATTACAGAAATTTGGTAAAAAATTCGCAAAAAACTAATTTCGTCGAATCCTAATGAAATTACGTATGTGAGTACAACACTTCACGGGAAGTTCAACTCAATCCGACAATTAGTTTAGGAAATACGCGGTGAAAGAAAGTTAAATAAAAAATACAGAAATTTGGTGAAAAATTGAAAAAAACCTAATTTCGTCGCTTATTTCTAGAAATTACGTATGTGAGACAACTCTTACGAGAAGTCTAATGGTGACAACTAGATCAATCGGACATTAGTTTAGGAAATAGGCGTGAAAGAAGTTAAAAAAAAATTACAGAAATTTGGTGAAAAATTCGAAAAACTAATTTCGTCGGTCGTTTCTGAAATTTACGTATGTGAGTACAACTCTTCACGAGAAGAGTTCATGGTGACAACTAATCAATCGACATTAGTTTAGGAAATAGGCGTGAAAGAAGTTATAAAAAAATACAGAAATTGGTGAAAAATTCGAAAAAAACTAATTTCGTCGCTTGTTCTGAAATTACGTATGTGAGTACAACTCTTCACGAGAAGTTCAATGGTGACAACTAGACACTCAATCCGACATTATTTAGGAAAATACGCGTGAAAGAATGTTAAAAAAAAATACAGAATTGTGAAAAAATTCGAAAAAAACTAAATTTTCGTCGCTTCGTCTGAAATTACGTATGTGAGTACACCTCTTCACGAGAAGTTCAATGGTGACAAACTAGCTCAATCG